TTAGAAGATAAAAAACTTAGGGAAATTAATAATCAACTAATAATATCAGCATCTCTTGTCTATATATATATATATAAAACTCTAGCAATCCAAAATCATAGACCAACACAACAATCAATTTGAAACACATATAGAGACAACAATAGCAATTCAAGCAGTTCCTGATCTTGCGAAAGATCAACACTTTATGTCAATTAAACATAACAGTCTACTCTACTTAGAATCCTACTTTCATAATCAGCTTAATGGTCCATATAAGCAGATTATTACACTTTCATCTACTTAGGATAATACATTCTCAGTTATTATACCCAATGGAACCTAAATACAAAGAAGGGGACAATGAAGCTTAAAAACTACACGGGCTAAAGAAGAAACGAACTTACTTCCATTGTAATGGTGAACACCAACTTTAGCAAGCATTGCGTAGTACTCAATCTCTGATTTTCTCAACGGTGGACAATTGTGGAGATTGCAATAATGTTTCCTGTGAACAAAACAAGAATAAACAACAAAAAGCTAAAACATTTAGGTATGCACACAAAAAGCTAAAACAAAAGTGGACAATTGTGGAGATAGCAATAATCATATATGAGTTGATAATTGTACCTCGAGACCAACTAATTAAAATCTTAAGGACCTTCCAAAGAAAAACCAGACCTCTTCTCTACTGTTCTACCTGTTAACGACCTCAAAGGTAGAATCTTAAGCACCTGCAAGTTTCAGCATCAACACCACAAAACAAAAATCAACACAAAACATTTCAAAACTCTAATTTTTATTCACAACAATTAGATTTTTATTCACAAAACAGTTCTAGTAATACTAATATCAAATAAGATATGTATAGCTAATAGGAATCAGCTTACAGAACGACAAATAATGTTAAGAAACAAGCAAGCCAATAATGAGGCAATTCGTCGAACACCTGGAGGGCATGAAAAGCATCATCAGAACTTCGGCCAAAAGCTTCTAAGAAATCAATCTAACCCAAATAGATCAACTGAACCCTAACAAAATCTAACTCAAGTGCTCATAAATCAATTGAACCCTAACAAAATCGTACATGCGGAGGAAAAAGAAAAGAATAAAGAGGGAGGAGGCTGACTTAATTGAATGGTGAAGCACCGAGCGTCGAAACTGGTTTGGGGTTTCAGGCCAACGAAATCAAAATCCAATATATCCAGAGCTGTATAATCGTAGGAAGAGAGTGAAGAGGTAAAGGAGAGCTAAGGAGAAGGGAATAATCTAGGAAGAAAAGAAGAATCGAGGAAGAAAGCGAAGAGGTAAAGGAGAGAAAGAGGATGGAGAAGATATATAGAAATTAGGGTGGAGGCCGGCGACGAGCTTTACGGTGGAGGCCGGCAACGAGCTTCACGGTGGAGGTCGGCGATGAGCTTCACACGAAATCCCAAATCTCTTTCTTCGATTTGGGATGTTTTTTTTTTTGGAGATATGTTTTCTATAGGGTAAAGTGAAGGGTTTTATTTTTTTGGACTTTGGCTTTAATTTTTTTGGATCAGAGCCATATGGCGCTAAGTGAATTATTTCGCTAAATTTTGGCGGAACGAGTGATTTTAGTTTTTTATTTGGTGATTTTCTATCTTAGCGTTGTTTCAGTGCTATTATATAAAATTAAAATAAAAAACTTATCTTTCATAGCAGTCAAAGAAAATGAGCTATCATCATGTGCTATCAATGTGGAAATTTTTTGTAGTGCAAAGAAACTAGCAGAGATTAGATCCAGATATATATAAAATGGTTGTAACAAAGAATTCTGATTTAAATATAATTATCATTAACCAGGATTAAGTTAAGTAAATAAGGAATAATGTGGAGGAGAAGAAGGGGACAAGCGAGGAGGCAAGATAGTGCACATGCACAAGAACAGTTTTGTCTCTTCTAAATCTCACCATAAGGTTACAGCAGAGAGATCATTGAAACACTAAAACTAATAATCTCTTTTTAATTTCTCTTGTTTCATTAATTAACACGTTCATGTGTGTCAGATCCATCTTAACCTCGGTACGACCAAAGATGGCCACACTTCTTGTTTAGAAAACTACACCAATTAAAAGTGTTTATGAAACTGCCAAAGATGACCATTGAAATGGTTTTGGCCACGATTAATTTCCTGTTTTTTTTTAGTTGCAATTTGGTTTATGAAAATATATTGTTAATTTTCTTTATATAGTGTTTGGCAATTTCTTTTGTATAAGTGCAACTAGGTGTGTTTACTCGTATTTCTGAGGTGTTTAAAATAAACTTGGGTCGTATATAATTGCCAAAGTCAATGATCTAGAATCATCCTTCTTATGACAAACTTTGATGTCCAAAAGTGATGATATAAAGTTCTACAATTTTCGGCGTAATTAAAGATTTATGTAAGGCTCGTGTTCTATAGTATGAACACCTAGACAGTTTGTTTCGAAGAAAATTGGATAATAATCAAAGAAGGACCAGTGAATGAGTAAACCATATAAACTTGTCCTAGGGTCCCCGAGAATTAGAATTCTATTGTTATCTTAATTGGATTGGACTGAACATCTTTGTAACTCTTTAAATATACCTAATGTAATGTGGTACAATATCGTTTAGGACTATATATGGGGAGTATAATCGATATCTAAATCGACTATGGACTAGATCATGAATGGATATACAAATTATTGTTTATCCACTTAACACGGATGGATTGCTGAATGGTCAGATGTCCTAGGAAATATGGATGATCGAGTCATATTAATGTCGACCTCCACTCTAAAAATGGATAAACATTAATTTGTTTATCCACTTAACACGGATGGATTGTGAAATGGTCAGATTTCCTAGGAAATATGGATGATCGAGTCATATTAATGTCGACCTCCACTCTAAAAATGGCTTCCAAAATTGTTTAGAACAAACTATGTACTTGTGTTAATCAAACGCGTTAACAACATTTGTTATCGATATCATTTAAATTTAATTCTAGTCAAATAAAATTATGAGTTGATAAATAAAATTTTAGAACCGTGGTTGGAATCGCATCGTAAGAAGGAAAAAATAAACATCTACCACTAATTAATAGTAAGTTTTACAAGTAGTGATTCCCACGTCCTACATTACTCTTAACCATTTTTCTTCACCGCCACATAGTCTCTCGGCAACATTTTGCGTACGTGTAAGCCCGTTTCCTCGCTGGCCATGACAATCCCATTCCCATATCAATCACCCTTTCTTATCACACATTGACATTACAGAGTAAAAACCCCAATCAGAAGAGAAGAAGAAGAAACTGTGTGTTTAGATATTTGGGTGACGTGGCTGTGAAGGAGAGATAGCGCGAGTGAGAAGACGCGGAAAGCCCGAACTCTCGCGGTTCGGCAGCTCCGCGTCAGTTGGTCGAGTCGTCTTGGAGCTATCTCGTTGCTTCTCGAGAGATATAATGGCGGAGGAAAACGAACGACAAGCCATGGACATTGGTCGCCCAACCAATATCTGTCACGTGGCTCATGTAACATACGATCGCTTCGATGGTTTTCTTGGTCTTCCTTCTGAATTTGAGCCCGACGTACCCAAGAAGCCCCCTAGTGCAAGGTTCAGCTTCTTCTTCTTTCCAATGTAAACCGTGAATTGAGTTGAAACCTATGCCATGATTATTTTTGCGTTTGTGTTTGCATTTGAAATTTAAGATTATTAAATATTATAACATTGTAAAATGCAAAAGAAAATGCAATGTTCGTTTTGACATTCAAAACAATTCGAAATCATGTCACAATAATCCTAAAAGGGATTCAAAACGTTATCTTATTGGAAAGATGCGTCAGAATTCCATTTCAAATTGACTATATAAATTGTAATCTAATGTAGTATATAAGAGACATGACCATGAATCTTTGTGAACAATGTGATGGAAATATTATGTTCTTGCTTCATGATTTGTTGATCTGTTTGCGGGTTTGCAGTGCAACAGTGTTTGGGGTTTCTACAGAGTCGATGCAGTTATCATACGACTCGAGAGGGAATTGTGTTCCGACGATACTCACGCTATTACAAAGCCGGCTATACGATCAAGGAGGTTTGCAGGTAGAAGGAATTTTCAGAATCACAGGGGATAACAGTGAGGAAGAGTTTATTAGAGAAGAGTTAAACAAAGGAGTCCTACCAGAAGGCATTGATATCCACTGTCTCGCCGGACTTATAAAGGCTTGGTTCAGAGAATTACCGAGAGGGGTACTCGATTCTCTACCATCTCAACAAGTGATGCAGTGCGAGTCAGAGGAGGATTTCGTGAAGGTTGTGAGACTCTTGCCGCAAACGGAAGCTTCTCTTCTGAATTGGGCAATCAATCTAATGGCTGATTTTGTAGAGTTTGAAGATGTCAATAAGATGACCTCCCGTAATCTTGCTTTAGTCTTCGCACCCAACATGTCTCAGGTCAGTTTTTGCAACATATTCCTCCAAGATTTTTTCTTTTTGAATTCTGGCATTGACCTTAGTCCTAATACCAATATGCATCAATGCTACTTATCAAGCCTCTGACCCGCAAACTGGATCTGTTTTGGTTTTATTGCAGATGGCAGATCCTTTAACAGCATTAATGTATGCGGTGCAAGTGATGAACTTGCTGAGGAACCTCACAGACAAAACGCTCAGGGAGAGGAAAGTTGCGTCATCACATGTCAATCCTTCTGATGACAGAAGTGAAGCTGAAGATGATGATGTCGGAGAATATAATCAAGAAGAAGAAATGTATGTTCTTGAAGAAGAAGGAGAAGATGTTGATGATCTGGACAAGGAAGACGAGATAATCGAAGAATCCGGGAGAATAACACTGCTTGCTGACGAACACAAACCATCAAGCACAGTGAATGCTAATGATCAAAAGAAAAAGGAAACATGAAGACAGATGTTGGAGCTGGAAACGTAATTAGCAGTATTGTGTGTTTCGATTGTATTTTCTTCGTTATCTAAGGTGCATGTAACTTAGGCTAATTGTTCCAAATACAACTTATGCATTTGTGTTTACATATCCAATTTTTTCATATGACCTAGAAAGATGAAAGAGCCACAGCAAATTTTGAGATGTATTATATCATTTTCAGGTCTTTTATTTTTGGGCTTACCCTTTAAGATTAAGCCAGTAATAATTGTTGTTAAATGGATTTCCTCAGTGTGATCTTAAACAAAAGATCAAAGCTTCAAACAGCAAAAGATTCAGATATTACCATCCATAGTAAGAAGCACCTTGTACAAATCTGGACGACGGTCACGGAACACTCCCCAGCTTTGCCTTTTCGACTTGATCATCTCAAGATCAAACTGTGCCACGAGAACGGCTTCCGATTTATCATCTGCCTCAGCCACAATTTCACCTGTTGGCCCTGTCATATCATAACAACGATATTGGGACAAACTGTTGGGAAAATGCTTATTGATAAATTTGCATCTAAACTTCAAAATTATTGATCTCATCTGAGTAAGTTTATAAATTGATACCGGCAATGAAGGAAGTTCCGTAGAAAGTGATCTGACTTGGTCCATGCTCAGTTTCAATTATTTCCTTCCCTATGCGATTTGAAGCGACTAGAGGCACCTGAAACCCAAAGTATATGCCCCACTCATTAGCAAACCATTACAGCAAAATCGATTAATCATTGGGAAAAAATGACCGATTAATCTAACCATTGAAGCACATTTTGACAAGTTACAATCAGTACAAATAATGGAACAAACTAGATGCATGTAATTTATTGTTCATGTCACGGTAAAATAGCTTTCAGTTATAAGTTATACTCGTAGCGATCGGATAAGACACTGATGAATTTGAAAACTGAAATGTTTAAGACCTAATAATAGCTTACCACGTTAGACCCAGCATGCCCTTGCATAACTCTCCTCCAATGATCACGAGAATCCAATCCCTGGTCTTGAGGTTCAGAACCAATAGCAGTGGGATAAAACAGTACTTCAGCACCCTGTAGAACCATAGCTCGAGCTGCCTCAGGAAACCACTGATCCCAACATATAGCTAAACAAGACATTGCACCAATACTTCAATTAAGATGAAGTAACAAAAGAAAAGGACATAAGAAACAGAGTTCTGCATAGAGCATCTTACCCACTCCAATTTTTGCAAACTTTGTCTGGAAAACCTATTCACGCCAAAGGGGGAAGAGATCAATCATGTGAACCAAATAACATGACAGATAAGAAATCTTTTTTCAGTTTGGGTGTTTCCTTGACAAAACTACCTTAAAGCCAGTGTCTCCAGGATTGAAATAAAACTTCTCTTGATACCCTGAAGATAAGTAGAGGTCTTAGCAAAAAGGTAACAAGAACGAAAGCTATATTTCCAACTCCAAACTTGACTCACCCGGTCCATCAGGAATATGCGACTTCCTATAAATTCCAAGGTCAGTTCCATCAGCATCAATTATCGCTATCGAATTGTAATGTGCAGCATTTGCCTCCTCAAAGAAGCTAACAGGTATTACTACACCCAATTCCTTTGCCAGCTTCTGCATCCTATGTTAAATAAACTCTCCAACCATCAAAACACTACACAGTACATACATCAAGATTCCACTTTACTGCGTTAGAAATCGAATAAGTAATGTCACCTTGCAATTGTAGGATGGTTCTTGTAAGGCTTGGCTCGCTGAAAGAAATCTTCTCTTTGTGCTTGACAGAAGTAATATCCTTCAAAAAGTTCCTGTTATCAAGAAACTAAACTATATAAGACAAACGAAGACGATTCGAAACTAGATAAATCAAAAACACTATATCGTATACGCAGCTTCAGAGACTAATCAAGTGAGACTTATAATCTGACCTGAATAAGAACGATATTAGCTCCTTTAGCGTGAGCTTCTCTGACTAATCTGCGTAAACGTAAACAATTCCATTCTCAGATAGTGAAATCGGATTCGAAAGGAGCAATTTGCAGGAAAAGAAATGAAATCTAAGGTCCGTGATCATCCTAAATTGCTCGAGAAGGATATACACATGAAAATTACAAGGAGGAGGAAGATGAGAGAGATTGATAGTCAGAGAGAGGGAGAGAGAGACGAACCGCTCAGCGGCGGCGACATTGGTGGAGATATCGTCGGAGCAAGCGAATTGGAGAGATGAAACAACCACTTCTCGTCTTCTTCCTTGCATTTCCATGGTTTCCCTCTCTTTCTCTGTGTTTTTTCTTTTCTCAGTGAAGGAAATAAGGAACGCTCAAAATCGAATATAAGGTAGCTGACATATTTGAGACTGTAACTCGCAGAGAGAATAAGAAGAAAAGAGAAATGTTCTCTTTTTCCACAAATCGAATAAAAAAAGGACGCAAGTGCAAACGCAAACGCAACGCCACGCAAGAGTCAAGTCTATCCCTTGTTTGAAAAATCGTTAGACGCTAATCGGACGTTTGGTATAGATCTAGCGAGTAATCGAAAAATCGGATTAAAATTGAGAATTAATCGGGGACTAGTTTTAGAGTTATTTTGATACGATCCTCCCAAGGATTATGCACTCTAAGGTGGTGAAAGGGATAACTTTGCATCCAAGAGACTGTGAACTCTAAAGGATCAAAGGTTGTGGAGTGAATGGTCGCACAAGAGCTGCGGAAGACTCCTGATTTACCGGTGGATCGATTCTTTGGATATTACACACCAAAGGAGATCGATAACTTGCTGGATATGACGCACCAACAAGGAATGGATAGAGAGATGGATCGAGAGACGCCACAAAGATCTGTGAAAGGATCTATGATAAGTCTGAACAAGCCATGAACATAGATATGACACACCATGAACATGGAGTTCCAAAAATTACAAGATATCACATCTTGAAAGAGAGAAACTTCTCTGATTTTTTACTCAACAACAAAACTTACTTTTATTCATGAATTAAGCCTCATTATATAGAGGAGATACAACAATTTCGTCCATAACATGCAGCACAACTTGGAAATAGAAATTCAAACTCTAAAGTGCATGTAAGAGAGAGAAAAACACTTTAAATGTTGTTTTGAGGATGGACGAAAATCTCTCTTTTCTTCTTGTTTTTGGGCTGAATCCACTTTGATGGGCTTCTCTGATTGACCAAGATTCCAGAACAATTTGGTTTGTAGCTTAATTCAATCTGGTCTTGTCGGAATCCTTCTTTGAATGGGCGTATGTCTGAATTCGCGTAAGCTGGAGATCACCGATTTTGTAAATTGCATAACTCCTTCATCTGAACTCCGATTGATCTGATTCTTCTTCGAGGAGTTTCGTAATTGAGCTGAGCACATTCTCCAACTGGTTTCATGCATATATTCGCCGTGGTTGATCAGATAAGCTTGATTCAATGACCACATATCCTGCTGCTTCCCATTATCATATCATATTTTAATATTGTTAAAATATATTAATCTAATATTGTTTTCAAAATTGCAGTAAACACATAAAAATGTATTTTAAGACAAATTTTTATGATTTTTATGAAAAATTTTTGTGATTTTTATTAAAATTTGAACATAAGTTATTGTAAAACATAACAAACTCCCAATTCAAATGTTTGAATAACAAAAAAAAAGTTGTTTTATACTTGCAATCTAAAAATAATCGGGATATGTAAGATTTGGCGGAAAATAATCAGATTAGGCAGAGAGTAATCGGCTGACTGATTTTTCTAAAGGATTAGTCATTAATCAAGGCGGATAGGATGGGTCTAACGACTAAGAGGGGAGTAACCGGACTAGGTGGACTAAGAGCTATCAAATCTATATATATAACTAGATATGGACCCGTGCGTTGCACGGATTGCTGGTCAAATTATTATTCTTTATTTTCTACAGGCGTTACTAAAATTATTAAACATATCCCATGTGCTATTCAGATGTTCATTGGCATCTCAGGTGTGGTCTGCAACTAACCTGCCCTTACCAAGTCATGAATTCACCAACTCTGTTGCGCATAACATAGAATACACTCTAAGCTTAAAAGGGAAGCCAGTTTTAGACCCACAGTTTCGGTCTGCAGTTCCATGGCTCTTATGGGAGATTTGGAAGGCTCGGAATGCTCTCTTATACGCAGCTAAGGCTACTGACCATCACTTTGTGATTGCTAATGCATTGGATGAAGCGGAGGAATGGATCAAACAAAACCAGATTACCTCACAATAGTCTGCGTGGGATGCAAGAAATCATTCTATATCCCGAAAAGTTTGGACTATACCTGCTGTTGGTGTTTTAAAGTGCAACATTAATGCGTCTTGGATAAATGATGAGTGTTTTTGTGCAACAGCATGGATCCTTCGAAATCATAACGGTGATGCTCTATTTCATGCTAGGGATGCCTTCTTACCTCTGTTTAACAGAGTTGCAGTGGAGCTGAAGTGCATTCTCTGGGCTCTTCAAAGTCTTCATGATCTTCACATTGCCTCCTGTTAGGTTTGGACCGGCTGTTCTGCGGCAGTCTCAGCCTTGGAGAATCCAAAAGATTGGCCAAAATATCGCTCTGTTCTTAACAAAATTGTGCAGGTAATACGGGTGATGGGAGAGGTTACTTTCAAACTCTCTTCACCGAAAGCCAATTCGTTGGCTAGGGATATTTCATGCAGTGTTACCCGAGAAGGACGTCTCACCTCAGACTTAGCTTTAGGAGGACCTTCATGGTTGCAAGATCGAATTGAAAGAGATCGTCGATCATAAGGCTAAGTTTCTGGTTTCTCTCTTATTGTCTCATCTTCATATTGGCGTTGCTCTATTCTTCCTTACAATGGTCTTTGTATTTCGTGACTTTAGTTTTTTTGATTTAATGAAACTCAGTGGAAAAAAAAACATATATTTTTAAATTTTAGAAAAGTCAGCATTTTAGTTATTTTTAAATATAGATTTATTATGTATAATGTGCAATATAAAACACTATTTATAGTTATGCTATACTAATTATTAAATCATCTAAGATAAATGTTGTCCTATTTATAAAATTATGAAATTTTTGTTTATTATAATTAGAGGTCAAAATAGTAAATTTGTTAATAGATGTAAATAAAATGACGGTTTAACCAGTGGTTTGCATCTAAAATGTTGTTGAATTATTTTAGGCGAGATGACAAAACTATGTTTTTTGAGATTTGAGATGGCAAAATATTTTCTAAAGGGTTTTTGACATTTAGCAATAATAATAATGATATATATTTGAAAAAGTTTTGGTAATTGATAATTTAATTTTACTAGATTATTATAATAAATGTATTCACCAAAAAATATTATTATAATAAATGCTACAATAAATTTAAAATATATAAATAAACATTAGTATATTAAGGAAAAAGAACGAATATATAAATAAGTTTTTTTAACCAAAAATTCTATATTTTAAAGATAATTTCTACTTACAAACAAATTTTGATTTAATATTTTGCTAAATTGATTTTAATTAAAAAAAATTTTAAACCGTCCATTGGACTGGTCTTAATCTAATATAATATATAGTTATATACAAAAAGTGATCATAATAAATTTTAAAGTTGGAAACACTTATAAACTTATAGAATTTTTTTACCAATCAGATTTTGTTTTGGACAACATAATAATACGACCAATGAAATTTATCTTACACTCTTATAAGGGTTTTGTACAAAAAAAAAAACTTCCAACTCGTCCATTTTTGCAATTTTACCTTTTATCTCTGAAAAGTAGAGATTAATCTTATGAAGTCCAAAATAATATGCAATGTAACACTTATTCGCTACCATCAAGTTCGTAAATTTTTGACAAATAATATCTCAAATCGAAGCCCTCGCGATGAAGAGTTCAACTCTACTTTTAGAATTTTATAAAACTAATGTATGCGACCGGAAAAACGTTTATAATATACGTATAAGGGTTATATTACGTATTATTTTGGGTTTAGTATGATTAATCTACATTTTTCGGAGATAAAATATAACATTACAAAAATAGGCGAATTGGAAAAAAAATTTTGCACAAAACCCCTCTTTATAGTCTTTACACATTTATTGGCAGCCAATTTAAAATCAAAATAATCCATTAAATCCATCGACATTAGCTTTTTTCCAACTCCTCAACATTATTCTATTTATCATTTCCTAAATATATTCAATATCTGAAAAGTCAAAATAAAGGAAAAAAGGTATTTTGGAATACCTTAATTGGTGTCACATATATACATATATGTGAACGGGTCAAAGATTCAGCGTCATGCATGCTATCCGATTCCTGGTTGGCAAACACTGAACCATGATAAGCCAACCACCAAACCAGATGAATAGCTGCAGGAATGGATGTTCCATCAAAGTTATATAACCGTGAATTATAAAGTATAAAATAAATACAGACATTGATCCTATAAACAGTGGCGGAGCCAGAAAAATTAGTTACGGGGTCATAATTTTTTTTTTTTATAAATATTAATTTTATTATAAAAAATGTCATTACAAATTTTTTTTTAAAGATGCATCTTTATAATTAAGTTTTAAACAACAAAATTAATAAATAAAAACTTAGTTAAAGCCCAACAGTTAAAAAAGCCAACGATAATGTTGAATCTCAATTAAACTATAGATAATTCTTAAAATTAATGGCATATTTCTATTTTAAATTTTTGTGAGAGTGGTCAATAATATTTGAGAGGGGTGTCAATAGCATTCTTGAACATGTGTCAAATAATTATTTTAACAAACCTAAGCTGAAAATTTTAATTCCATGGGGGTCATATGACACCCATGTTTCTTAATTGCCTCCGCCACTGCCTATAAAGTTTTAAATTTGGAAAATACTTGCATAAATATGGACATTTCTACTAATCAGATTTATCAGTTATCTTACACTCTTTTAAAACAATTTGATAGATAAGTCACTTCTTGACATCAGATTTTATTTTATAAACACTAGAATCATTATGATGGATTTTTGCAATATGAGTATATAGTTGGCAAAAACCACAATAGACATTCATCATGAAAAGCTATGAGATCACATTGGCTAAGTGCTAATTTTTTGGCTACTCTAATTAATGCTTTGTTTTAGTGCAGCTCTCTATTTTTCCAGCATTTTTCTATGTTTTCAGTTTAACAAACTCTTATGTACATAAAACTTCTTTTTGTTAACAAATAAATTTCAAAAATAAAATAATTGGAAAAAGATATTTTAGAATACCTCAACCATGATGTCATTTATTTCTATAGAGTATTAATTAATAGAGGTTTCACTGTATAGACACACACACATATGTGAGTGATACTCGTCTATTGGGTGCATGCGATTCAAACCTGTGGCCGG